TCAATTTTGAGTGGTGTTGTGGGAGGCTCTGAAGCATGCAGGCTTACCAGCAGCCCAATTTTCTTCTCACTCGTTTTGGATTGGAGCTGCCACGGCTGCAGCAGCTCACAGCCTGAGTGATGCGGTGATCCGATGTATTGGGCAATGGCGTTCAGGAGAGTTTGAATCTTACATCCACCCTTAGGCTGGTTAGATGTTGATTCTAGTCCCGGGGCCGATGCGCTAATGCCTTGATGTTCTAATGTGTGTTTTTCAGTTGAGCAGGTGGAGCACAGGGTGACGTCTGGATTGTCAGTCACAGCTTGTTTTTTTGGGCCGAATGGCACACTATCTAGTAGGGCCGAGATACAAACTTGGGTCTAGAGTGATTTGGGCACATTCATTGGTTTGGGTGGAGAGGCATGCTATGGGGGGCCCTTCTTCCATGAATCATCGAGTTGGCTGTTACCTTCCCATCTCCCTGGATACTCCTCATTCATCTGGGTGAGAACAATTTGGTCAAGATCCCCGGATTGCAGTTAGTCTAAAGGATCATGGCGGACATGCACAAAGTATGATGACGATTACCGGGGACTGTTCTGTTATGAACCAAGATTTTGCCGTGACGAACTTGGCCTGGTGCAAGGAAAGATTCTGCTATTAACACAGATCATTGCTGGGTGAACAGGGGTGTTTTGAGGAGGTTGGAAGTTTTGGGGGCCTCATGTGTTGAGCACAACCAGATTAGGGTTGGTTTGCCACATCTGTACAGGGGTGATGGGGTTCATCTCTTCCCGGTAGGCTGTAATGTATACTTGGACTCCATTGTCTCTCACAAAAAATGGGTCCTATGGGGGAGGGGGAGGGGATGCCAAGCTAGGTTGGCCCCCTCCTGTGGCAGGGCAGGGACCCCTCCCCCCAGGGATAATTGCATATCTCATTTTTTCAACATTTGGTCATTTAAGAGGGATGAATGGTTTACATCGTCAGCTTAAAAATCTCTTACATCATCAATCATAGAGATGACATCAATATTTGGACGGGGGAATGATTTGATTACATGTTTGGCAACTTATGTGTGATCCTTGTTGACATATGCTTTGTTGGAGGCATAACTTATCCCTGATGGCTTGACATGATTATGGTGAGGATTACATCAGGAATTATGGCATGTGCACATACACATGTGTCAAGAAGGAACTTATAATACAGTGAATATTTTTGGCTGTAAAGTTATTGTTTCAGACCCAATCCAGATGAATAAAGTTGTGGCCATTTTGTTATCCAAAAAAATGGTGTTCAGACTTCTTTGTGTCAGTGCAAACTCCCCCCCCCCCAACACGTCAAGAGGGGCCTTCTGTTGCACCGGCCATTTTAAGAGGTCGATGCTGCAATTGGTTGGAAGGGCTGGGAGTCCCACCCTCCCTTCAGCTCCCAACCAATCAGGGGGATCTCGCAAGATCCCCCAGCAGCCTACATAATCTCACTCTGCCTCATGGAGGCAGCCATTTTCCATTTGGCAGCCATGAGACCCAACCCACCCACTCTCAATTCTGTATGTTGTTTTTCCTACCCTCAGGCTTTTGCTGGTCACCTTCAGCCGCCAGAAGGGAATTTTCCTATAGTTATTGTAACTTGGGTTTTTTGCCCTCCCTGAGGATGCTGCAGTTCTGGTTTGGAATGTGAGATAATTGGTATTGTAATTCATCTGTTAATAATTCAAGCACAACTTTGTTGTAAGTTCTTTGATCGCTGATTTTGTCACAACTTGGAACAGGGTCTTCTATTCATTATTGTGCAACTAACTTGTCTCGGCTTGGACGGGGCAGGGATGCCCCCCCCAGGCATAATTGGATATCTGATTTTTCAATATTTGGTCATTTAAGAGGGACACTGTATGGGGGGGAGGGGATGCCAAGCTAGGCTGGCCCCTTCCTGTGGCCGGGCAGGGACCCCCCCCAGGGGATAATTGGATATCTGATTTTTCAATATTTGGTCATTTAAGAGAGATGAATGGTTTACATCATCAGCTTAAAAATCTCTTACATCATCAATCATAGAGATGACATCAACGTTTGGATGGGGAATGATTTGATTACACATTTGGCAACTTATGTGTGGCCCTTGTTGACATATGCTTGGTTGGAGGCATGACTTATCCCTGATGGCTTGACATGATTATGGTGAGGATTACATAAGGAATTATGGCATGCACACATACACATGTGTCAAGAAGGAACTTATAATAAAGTGAAGATTTTTGGCTGTAAAGTTATTGTTTCAGACCCTGTACAGATGAATAAAATTGTGACCATTTTGTTATCCAAGAAAAATGGCGTTCAGACTTCTTTGTGAGTGCAATTTTTTTACACTCACCTCAAACCAGAAGCTTCCTAAATTTGTGAGCTGCCTTAGGCACCATATTTAGAGAAATGCAGGATATAAATGAAATGAATGAATAAATGAAAGAAAGAAAATGATAACAGGATGAAAACAAGATGCAGTCAGTTTTTTTTTTTAAAAAAATATCTTTATCACATTTATCTATTTAATACCATTGATGTATGAATGCCTTTAGTAGCAAGGGTTCACTAAATATTTGCTACAAGGCAATTTAAGGTGAATTTGAAGGATCCAGATAAAGCAAAATATCTTTTTAGAATATTTATGCTCATAGAAGTGTGCAGTGAGGGAGAATTTGAGAGCAAGACTTGCACCATGATAGGAAATGGGGGGAAAAAACTGGGCACAACATTTACTAGTTGCATCTTACACAGAGTTTGGCATGATGGAGCACAAGAAATCAGACTTTGGGCGGAAAACATACTGACAATCATCCATCCAGCATGCTGGGTACCATTAATGGGATGAAGGCACATGAACTGATACTATGAACAATGACTAGCAGCCTTGTTGTGTAGCAGCATTTGTGCACCCAGTGACACATTGGCACAGCACAATCATGGAACTCCCCCCCCCCCTTTATCTTGCTTGCTCTCTATAGTTCACTGACAGAAGCAGAGGATTTCCACCATGGGGAGGGGGCAGCTCAGGAGGGTCTAAGGTAGCCTCCAAGTCCACCTGGAACAACGAGAGTCTGTCCACTATACATACCTCCTGTACATTGCCTCCCCAATGTTCCCCTGTTGGACAGGCCAGTTTGTTATTATTTTCTGAAATTAAATCCACTAGCTTTACGATGGGTCAGTGGTGCCACTGACCACTCATATGCTTGTATGAACAGGCAAACAGGGGCAGGAGACAAAAATATATTATAGCGAGCAATGGTGCCGGCAACTCACCAGGCCCAGAGGATATGCTCCTGACTACTTCTGTCAGCTGCCTGGCCCTCTCCCCATCTCTGCACTGATGTTCAGTCCACACACCAATGTGATAGTTCACTCTTTCTCACTTGAACTGTAGCAATCAGAGATATATTCTGTTCTGGTGTTAAACCTGAGAGCACCACTTGGGGCCATTTCCATTCCATTTTAGCCATTTGTGCCATCTGCACAGGTGAGTTCCAAAACTGGTTGGGACTGTTTCTTTTAGCCCATGTGGATGAGCCCAAGGATGGAGACTCAATTGGTTTTCAGGAGTTGGAGTTATGCCCTTGGGATAATGAGAGATGCAGTTCAGAGCATCTGAAAAATCCTTGTTGCTCCACTGTTATAGTAATCCCTTTGGGGTGTGAGCTGTGAGGAACAGAATAATAGAATTATGGAACTGAAAGTCAAATAGCAAACCTAATCCCTGACAAAACAATAAATTGGCTTCTACAGATTCCTGTCTTATGGGCATCTACCTTCTGCTTAAAACCCCTTTTTTCCCTTGTCTGATTTTTTATTATACCTGGGTTAACATTTCCTCCTTGCAGAAGATATGACTGTAGTGTTGTTTTCCTCTTCCTTCAAACAAAGCACCAATAACTCAAGGTTCTATTATTTTAAGATTTCTTGCAAATCTAACTTTATTCTGAGCTTTAACTCATTTAACATTTTCCTATTCATTAGCATTCATTTTTTTTTTTTTAGATTGCTGTTCTTTCATTCCCTGCCTACATTCTCTCTATGTGTGTGCACTTGTTCACTCTTTAAAATGGCAAGTATTTACAATAGTTGGTTGGGGCACAGCATGATTCATGTACACACACACACACACACACACACACACACACACACACACATATGCACATCTTTTGAAAAGAGTTTAAGAATTTATTGTGTGACAAGGAGGGACACACATGACATTATAGTGCAAGCAGAAAATAGAAAAACTTGGAATGACTACTGAAGAAAGTCAAGGAAGAAAATGCAAAGGTAGGATTGCAGATGAACATTACGAAAAAATAATGATCATAGATTATTTGTATAACTTTAAAGCAAACAATAGACATTGAAATTGTTCAAGATTTTCCATACTATGGCTCAGTAATTAATCAGAATGGACACTGTAGTCAAGAAATTAGAACAAGACTCATACATAGAAGGGCAGCAATAAATGATCTAGATAATATCCTGAAGTATAAAGATATATCATTAAATATTAAATTTAGGATTGTCTGTACCATCATATTTCCAATTTCTATATATGGTCATGAAAGCAGGACAGTGAAGAAAACTGATAGGAAAATAATCAAATCATTTGAAATGTGGTGCTGAAGAAGAGTTGTATCTAGACTGCTAAAAAGACAAATAAAAGTAAATCGAGCTTGAACTCTTCTTACAAACCAAGAAAACTAAGTTGCGGCTGTCATACTTTGGCCATATCATGAGTAGACATGGCTCACTAAAAAAGACAATAAGGCTTGATTAGGTAGAAGGCAGCAGGAAAAGAGGAAAACCACTTTCCAGATGGATAGACTTAATCAAAGATGCCATTGCTGCCCTGATACGGCAAGATCTGAGCATGGTTGTTGATAACAGGGTGACTTGGAAGTCTCTCATTCATAGGTTCACCATAAGTTAAAGTTGACTTGACAGTAGTTAAGTAGTTAGTAGTAGTCACCCAGTGGGCTTCCATGGCTGAGCAGGGAATCGAATCCTGGTCTCCAGAGTTGTAGTCCAATGCTCAAATCATTACACCACACTGGCTGGCTACAAGCTTTTGAAATTAATATGCAGATGGCTTCTTCCACACTGGCTCTATGCATGAGGTGAAGGTTTTTGTTTTTTCTTCTTCTTTGTAATAGGGTTTATTCCAAAATAAACATGCGTAACATTGATTATTTTACCTTTATGAACAGTGTGTCCCTAAAATAAACACTATTGAGGACCTATTGCAAAATAAATGAATAATAGGTTGAAGCATTCAATTGTATCCTATTTATCCTGCTAATTTATATAAGAAATATCAGCATAATTTTGTTAAAGTTGTTTCTATCATTGCAGTAGCAAGGACTGTGGGCACAACATATTACAACATGCACTGGAAAAAAGAAATTTTATCTTTAGTTAAATATTAGATAATAAAATTATTGAACATTACAATTTGTTTTTTTTTTTAAAAAAAAATAAATAGAATAATAGAACAACAGAAACTGAACATGTTTCTCCCCAATTGATAATTGGTCATGTAAAATAAAATTGAAGTATATTGTTTACAAGTGATGTTTGCTGTCTGTTTGGAGTCTAAAATTTAAAAGAAATTTATTGTGAAAAAGATAGACATCTTGAGATTAATCTTTAAAGTTTGATATTGTATACATTTATAGAATTAAGATCACACTGACTTTAATCATCCTGACTTGTTTTAAATAGCTGAAAACATGGATTTCTGTGAGGTTTTTTTGCCATCATAAGTTCCAATTTCACACTTTAATGTTTGAAAAGAAAATATTGGCAGTATTTTGAAACTCACTTCAAGAACAGCTTGGAATGTTTATATTTTGGATATTATTCATTAATTTCCTGATAAAATAATGCAGTTAAAACAAAATCCAGGCATGGATTTTGTTTTTAAAAATAATAAGTTTAGCCTGTTTCATGTACATATTTATATGTACATCTGTACCTGTATCCATAATTTCTGAATATTTTACAGTAACAATGACAGAGAGGGATCAGCATTAATGGAGGTAATGGAGATATGCTATCTCATTGAGGTCATGAAAATATGTAAATATTATTTGTATCTTTAATGCAAACTACTTCACTTGCTGGTTGGGAAAGATAAATAGATAGACAGACATATACATTTTGTAGTGAAGTAGTAATAATTTGATAATCAATGTTTTATATGCCTAAGTTATAAATGTGTACTATTATGTGTAGAAATTAGAAGCTAAGTAAGTGTCAGGCCTGCAAAGAGGAGTCTGGGAACTGGTGCCTTTAACACAAAAATACATAGCCAGAAGGTTTAAGTCCAGGAATGTTAAAATGTTTATTTACACAGTAGCCATAGAGAGACCCTGAAGCTGTAACAAAGAGGTGCCAGGATGCACCATGAAGCCATAACAATAAATCAGTGCAGAGAGACCCTGAAAGGTCCTGACAGTAACAGTCTCTGCTGATAAGATGTTTTCCTGGAATGCAGTGGGTCTGGCATTAATGGTACCCTAAAACAGATTATAATGTATGCATAGATCTTTACTCTCATTGCTTAGAATTCTATATGTTTAAAGTTTAGAGCAGAGGTAGGCAACCTTTTTGAGCCAGGGGCTGGGTTGATGTCCCTCAGACAATTGGGGGGCCGAAGAACCAATAAATAAATAAATAAATAAATAAATAAATAAATATTTTTAAAAATTTAAAAAAATATGCATGCACACTCTCTCAGTCCCAGAAAAGCCATGGCAAAACCCCTGTGGAGATTTTGCCAAGAAAACCCCAAGAACAAGTAATAACAACAATGATCAATATCATCATCGTGGGTGGCGGCGGCGGCAGGACCAGGACCGGCCAGTGCAAAGGCCTCAGGGGGGCGCATCCGGCCCCCGAGCCTTAGTTTGCCTACCCCTGGTTTACAGCATCCAATAAGATGAAAGAGATGAGTTCTTTGTGTATAAAAACAACAACCATCTTCTTTGTCTTTTGCCTAAGTTTGGAAATGCAAATTTCTCTTGGGCCTGTGCACATTAAACTTTGTGTTTTGTCTTCTCATTTGTGGTCCTTCAATCTGTTTTTGCACCTGTCAGGAAAACCTGGGCTGTGAGGTTATATTGCTCACAGTTTATTTTCTACAACAGTAGCGAGAACAGAAAAGTCTGTCTGAAGATGGAACATTTCATATGCTATACCTTGCCATTAAAGGGCTAGAAGTTTTTCCCACAAATAAACTGGTTTCTTCTGATGTATGGATACTATGGATACTAAAGGGTTTCCATGTTCCTAATAAACTCCTTTCATCAGAAGTAGAAGGGCACTGGAACTTGGGGAGGAAGTCACAGAAATAGGATATGTGACTTGGGCTCAAGTTATCTAAAGATCATTTTCTCTCATATAGGCCTTCCCAGGCTCTGAGATGTTCAGAAAAAAAGTATTTCTTTTTGTTCCATTACTATCACAGACATGTCTGGAGGAGACATGAGTGAAATCTTTCCCCATGGCTACTCCTAGATCTGGAATCCCTTTCATGGGTCTAATCTGCACAGCAGAAATAAGGCAGTTTGACACCACCTTAACTGCCATGCCTCAATGCTGTGATTTGTCATTTTGTGAGATATTTAGCCTTTCCTGTCATAGAGTTATGTTGTCCCACCAAACTACAAACCACAGAATTCCACAGCATTGAGCCATGAATGTTTAAGAGGTCTCAAAGTGCTTTATTTCTGCAGTATGGCAGCAGCCTAGACTGGCCATCACCTCGTTGATCCTCTAACAGCAGGCAACAGGCTGCATTCCTTCTCAGCATTTGGAAACTATTTTTAAGAAGGCCTTTGAATAGTAGCACATTGTGCTGCTTTTCAACTTCTTTTTTTAAGGCAAAAAGTAATCTTAATGGATGTCTTAATTTGATCTGTTCAAAGAATGTTTAAATTGTTGAGCTTTTATGCCTCTGTCCTAGGCATGAAATGATTTAATATAATCTCTAGACACCAGCTCAGGAGGATCAAGGACTGATTGTATCCCCTCCTCACAGTCACTGTCACTGGAGGCTTCAGTCCCTGGGTGTATCCACATTTGTAGAAATAAAGAACTCTAACATTACTTTAACTGTCATGACTCTATCCTGTAGAATCCTGGGATTTTAAGTTTGGTGGGGCACCAGACATCTCTGATAGACTAGGCTAAATTCCACACCAAATGACAAAACCCAGGATTCCAAAGGATGGAGCCATGACAGATAGTGGTATCAAACTGGCACCAAAAGTGGTGTCAAGTTTCTGGAGTGTCAAAGAGCTGTCTATGAGTCTCTAGTTTTCTGTGGCAGTTCTGAAGAAACTACCCCTGATATTGGGATCCTTAAAATGTAAATAATGTCTGACATCCTGCATCATCAGATGATGGAACTCCACCAATGTGTACTCCCCCCCCCATTCAACACCCACAAAAAACAGCCTCTTAAGCCCGGCATCACTTCATGCAAAGGGTTTTCATAGTGCTGCAGATTTCGGCACTGGGAAATGATGGCTACTGCACTCTCCTGGGCAAGGGGACACTTTGAGACAGGAAGTAACTGCTTCAATTTGGTTGTTAAGTTAGGTTTATGATCTAGTAAGTACCGAAAAGGATGCCACCAGCCCCAGTGTCTAAGGATTTTCCTATTCTTTGCAAAGTATGTGAGAAATCCAGATCAGGTACAGAATGCCTCCTGCCTGGGCACGGAGGTGTGCAATAAAATCAGTGTTTAAAAGTTTTCATCCCACACCTAGCTCAGGAAGAAAGGACAGAAAAGGGCAGTGCAATAAACTTCTATCAGCATTGAAATTTCAGAGCCTCATTATTACTGTATTGTCCATTGACCCCCTCAAGTCCCAGAAAGGAAAAAAAAACAAACATATATGACAAAAGCCTTTCTGTTAGACTATACAGCAAAGGTTAATTAACATTGTACAGTGCACCAAGATCAACCCACACAACCATCTTTATACATATTCAGGAGCCTCTAAATTCTATATTCTTTATTTCCAATATAAAATAATGAAGCCATGTTGTGCATCTATAAGGATAAATGGTCATAATGCTGATGATCACTAGCTATGGGTGAATGCATACACACACACACACAGACACCCTGCAGTTGGAAAAGTTTCAGCACCTTCCTTCCTTCCTTTCTTCCTGGATTCTCTCTATTTTACTTTAAATTGGTGTGACTATTTACATTGCTACTCAGAATAAATACTCTTTCACACATTTTTCAGTTGTATTCTCTCAAATGAGAATGGTTGTGGGTGTGAACAATTTTATGTGATAACACTGTGAGTGTACCACTATCGAAGTTCTCTGTCCCTTTCCCCCATATTATTATGATGTCTAAGCTGTATGATATCATACTAACATGATATAATTATTCTGATTTAGGGAATGGTGCATTTTCCTCCAGTGAGGAGTGGTGGTGAAAATAGCTGTTTTCCTTTGGATTAGCCATCCCTCTTTTTTTCAGAGGTGTGAAAGAAGAAAATGTATGTATGTGCACTCACTAAATCTGCTTGTAGTTTTTGCTCTTCCTGGGCCACAGTCAGTTATTGTTGCTCAAACTTTCTTATTCAGAAGAGGCAAGATCCATTATACAAAGCTCAAAAATAACTATGAGGGAAAGGAGAGAATGGCTGGCCGGGGAAATTGAGAGAGTGCGTGAATCATAGAATTATGGTTGGAAGAATCGGTGCTGCTGTTGTGCTTCCACAATGATTTGTGGAGGGCTGAACCATGACCAACAAAATTTTGGCCTGAAAATGTGGCCTTCCACTATGTTTCAGTATTAACTGAGAAATGTTTCATTCCCCATGTAACAGGTAACGGTCACTCATTATTCCCTAAACATTACCTTCCCAAAACTTGACAGGGGATGCAGAAAACCACCACCACAAAAACTGCTGTGTGAACACATGTGGTTTATTGTAAAGGCTTCTTGATGAGGCTAAAGATAATCCATGAAACCTCTGTGGAGTGCTAATTATTTTGTAAATCAAGTACATGGGTCATCTATACAG